GAACAGGTATACACAAGGATGGTATGTTTCAACAACGTACGGGTATACACAAGAATTGTATGTTTCAACAATGTACAGGTATACACAAGGATGGTATGTTTCAACAACATACAGGTATACACAAGGATGGTATGTTTCAACATCGTACGGGTATACACAAGGATTGCATGTTTCAACAATGTACAGGTATACACAAGGATTGTATGTTTTAACAATGTACAGGTATACACAGGGATGGTATGTTTCAACAATGTACGGGTATACACAGGGATGGTATGTATCAACAATGTACAGGTATCCTCAGGGATGGTATATTTTAACAATGAACAGGTATACACAAGGATGGTATGTTTCAACAATGTACGGGTATACACAAACATGGTATGTTTCAACAACGTACGGGTATACACAAGGATGGTATGTTTCAATAATGTACAGGTATACACAAGGATGGTATGATTCAACAATGTACAGGTATACACAAGGATTGTATGTTTCAACAACGTACGGGTATACACAAGGATAGTATGTTCCAACAACGTCCAGGTATACACAGGGATGGTATGTTTCAACATCTTACGGGTATACACAAGAATGGTATGTTTCAACAACGTACGGGTATACACAAGGATGGTATGTTTTAACAATGTACGGGTATACACAAGAATGGTATGTTTCAACAACGTACGGGTATACACAAGGATGGTATGTTTCAACAACGTACAGGTATCCACAAGGATGGTATGTTGTAATAATATATGGGTATGCACAAGGATGGTATGTTTCAACAATGTACGGGTTTGTTTGTCCAGTACTGTGCAGCGGCAAGATAATTAGCAGATACGTTGATGATACCTGTGTCAAACGGCGTGATCTAGACTTTACCTATGTGCACCTGTGCCCACAATGATCTGCATGGAAGCTAGTTTACCTATGTCCACCTGTAATTAGTTTACCTTTTTCCACCTGTAATTAGTGTACCTATGTCCACCTGTAATTAATTTTACCTACGTCCACCTGTAAAAGGTGTACCTAAGTCCACCTGTAATTAGTTTACCTTCGTCCACCTGTAATTAGTTTATCTATGCCTACCTGTAAATAGTTTACCCATGTCCACCTGTATCCACTATATATTGATCTGTAAGGAAGCTAGTTTACCCACGTCCACCTGTAATTAGTTAACCTATGTCAACCTGTTATTAATTTACCTACGTCCACCTGTAATTAATTTACCTATGTCCACCTGTAATTAGTTTACCTATGTCAACCTGTTATTAATTTACCTACGTCCACCTGTAATAAGTTTACCTATGTTCACCTGTAATTAGTTTACCTATGTCAACCTGTAATTAATTTACCTACACCCACCTGTAATTAATGTACCTATGTCCACCTGTAATTAGTATACCTACGTCCATCTGTAACTAATTTACCTACCACCACCTGTAATTCGTTTACAAATGTCCACTTGTAATTAGTTAACCTTCGTTTAACTGTAATTAGATTACCTACGTCCACCTGTAATTAATTACCTACGCCTAAATGTAATAAGTTTACTAATGTCCACCTGTAATTAGTTTACCTTCGTCCACCTATTGTTTGTTTACCTACGACCACTTGTAATTTGTTTACTTTCATCCACCTGTATCCACCATGTAGAGATCTGCATGGGACATAGTTTACCTATGACCACCTATAATTTGTTAAGCTACACCCACCGGTAATTAGTTTACCTATGTCCACCTATATCCACCATGTAAGGATCTGCATGGAACATAGTTTACATATGACTACCTGTAATAAGTTTAGCTATGTCCACCTGTAATTAGTTTACCTGTGTCCACCTATATCCACCATGTAGAGATCTGCATGGAAGATAGTTTACCTGTGACCACCTGTAATTAGTTTACCTATGTCCACCTGTAATTAATATACCTACACCCACCTGTAATTAGTTTACCTATGTCCACCTATATACACCATGTAGAAATCTGCATGGAACATAGTTTACATATGACCACCTGTAATTAGTTTACCTATGTCCACCTGTAATTAATTTACCTGTGTCCACCTGTATACACATGTAGAGATCAGCATGGAAGATAGTTTACCTACGTCCACTTGTAATTAGTTTACCTGTGTCCACCTGTAATTAGATTACCTATGTCAACCTTTTTCCATTATGTATTGATCTGCATGGAAGATAGTTTACCTACGTCCACCTGTAATTAGTTTACCTACGTCCACCTGTAATTAGACTACCTATGTCCACCTGTATCCACTATGTATTGATCTGTATGGAAGATAGTTTACCTACGTCCACCTGTAATTAGTTTACCTATGTCCACCTGTAACTAGTTTACCTATGTCCACCTGTAATTAGATTACCTATGTCCACCTATATCCACCATGTAGAGATATGCATGGAAGATAGTTTACCTACGTCCACCCGTAATTAGTTTACCTATGTCCATCTGTAGTTAGTTTACCTATGTCCACCTGTAATTAGTTTACCTGCGTCCACCTGTAATAAGATTACCTATGTCCACCTATATCCACTATGTATTGTTCTGCATGGAAGATAGTTTACCTATGTCCACCTGTAATTAGTTTACCTATGTCCACCTGTAATAAGATTACCTATGTCCACCTGTATACACTATGTATTGATCTGCATGGAAGATAGTTTACCTACGTCCACCTGTAATTAGTTTACCTGTGTCCACCTGTAATTAGATTACCTATGTCAACCTATATCCACTATGTATTGATCTGCATGGAAGATAGTTAACCTTCGTCCACCTGTTATTAGTTTACCTGTGTCCACCTGTAACTAGATTACCTATGTCCACCTGTATCCACTATGTATTGATCTGCATGGAAGATAGTTTACCTATGTCCACCTGTAATAAGTTTACCTGTGTCCACCTGTATCCACCATGTAGAGATCTGCAATGAAGATAGTTTACCTACGCCCACCTGTAATTAGTTTACCTGTGTCCACCTGTGATTAGATTACCTATGTCCACCTATATCCACTATGTATTGATCTGCATGGAAGATAGTTTACCTACGTCCACCTGTAATTAGTTTACCTATGTCCACCTGTATCCACTATTTATGTATCTGCATGGAAGATAGTTTACCTATGTCCACCTGTAATTAGTTTACCTGTGTCCACCTGTAATTAGATTACCTATGTCCACCTATATACACTATGTATTGATCTGCATGGAAGATAGTTTACCTATGTCCACCTGTAATTAGTTTACCTGTGTCCACCTGTAATTAGATTACCTATGTCCACCTGTATCCACTATGTATTGATCTGCATGGAAGATAGTTTACCTATGTCCACCTGTAATAAGTTTACCTGTGTCCACCTGTATCCACCATGTAGAGATCTGCAATGAAGATAGTTTACCTACGCCCACCTGTAATTAGTTTACCTGTGTCCACCTGTGATTAGATTACCTATGTCCACCTATATCCACTATGTATTGATCTGCATGGAAGATAGTTTACCTACGTCCACCTGTAATTAGTTTACCTATGTCCACATGTATCCACTATTTATTTATCTGCATGGAAGATAGTTTACCTATGTCCACCTGTAATTAGTTTACCTGTGTCCACCTGTAATTAGATTACCTATGTCCACCTATATCCACTATGTATTGATCTGCATGGAAGATAGTTTACCTATGTCCACCTGTAATTAGTTTACCTGTGTCCACCTGTAATTAGTTTATCTGTGTCCACCTGTAATTAGATTACCTATGTCCACCTGTATCCACTATGTATTTATCTGCATGGAAGATAGTTTACCTACGTCCACCTGTAATTAGTTTACCTGTGTCCACCTGTAACTAGATTACCTATGTCCACCTGTATCCACTATGTATTGATCTGCATGGAAGATAGTTTACCTAAGTCCACCTGTAATAAGTTTACCTGTGTCCACCTGTATCCACCATGTAGAGATCTGCAATGAAGATAGTTTACCTACGCCCACCTGTAATTAGTTTACCTGTGTCCACCTGTGATTAGATTACCTATGTCCACCTATATCCACTATGTATTGATCTGCATGGAAGATAGTTTACCTACGTCCACCTGTAATTATTTTACCTATATCCACCTATATCCACTATTTATTGATCTGCATGGAAGATAGTTTACCTATGTCCACCTGTAATTAGTTTACCTGTGCCCACCTGTAATTAGATTACCTATGTCCACCTATATCCACTATGTATTGATCTGCATGGAAGATAGTTTACCTATGTCCACCTGTAATTAGTTTACCTGTGTCCACCTGTAATTAGTTTATCTGTGTCCACCTGTAATTAGATTACCTATGTCCACCTGTATCCACTATGTATTGATCTGCATGGAAGATAGTTTACCTACGTCCACCTGTAATTAGTTTACCTATGTCCACCTGTAATTAGTTTACCTGTGTCCACCCGAAATTAGATTACCTATGTCCACCTGTATTCACTATGTATTGATCTGCATGGAAGCTAGTTTACCGGAGCAGCGGCAATCATCAATGTTATATGTGTTTGTTAATATCGAACCCACAAACTGTTGATGACAGATTGACCATCACCTGGAGCGTTTGGGCAACAATATGCTGACGTGTGCCGACCTGCAACATGCCTATGGCACGTAAACGTTCAGCTAGCTGCAAACGTCTCATGATTCTTCGAAAATGTTCTTGCCCCATAAATCACTTACTTTCATTGCCAGACATTGGTGTATTTTCGGGTAGTTTCACCTCAAAACAAAGTATCCCTGCTTTTATGCACAGTATAGTTCACCTGTGTTAGCCATGCATTGATGTAACACATGTACCTAGTTTACCTACATGTATGTCCACCTGCAATTAGTGTACTTGTGACCTTTTCACGACCTGTTGTATCGTAGTAATAATTTGAGTACAATAATCTGGTTATCTGATACAATGCTGCATCGAACGACTTCTCTTTGTCTAGGACTCAGATGCTGTCTCGGAGAAGAAAAGGAAAAATTACTGGGGATCGATCCACTTCCTCAGGTCTGATAAGAAAAAGGCTTCATCGTGAGTATTTGATTACTGTCGTACCCTGACTGACTTTAATATCAGGCCTGTTTGTAAAGGCTTTATATTACCCATTTACCAATAATTAATCCGATAAACATTACCAAATAACACAATTATCCAGGTTGTAATTGGCCTTCAGTAACCCATTATTGTCGTAAGAGGCGCCTATCCTTGCGACTAACGGGATCGGGTGGTCAGACTCGCTGACTTGGTTGATGCTTGTCATCGTATCTCAATTGCGTAAATCGATGCTCGTGATAACAATGACTGGATCAATGACTCGCCATCATATAGCTGCAATGTTGCTGTTTGCGATGTAAACCAACCAACCAAAAAGCGACAGGTACATGTTTACAGATCAAAACATTAAGGCTGCCATATATATATATATATATATATATATATATATATATATATATATATATATATATCATTCATAACATTTATAGATATGCAAAAATATGAATAGAGATTCATCAGTATTGTGGACATAGAATTGACATCCATGGATATGTTTACCCAGAATCATTCAAACTCTTGGCGAGGATGGTGTATATCTGGTCAGGGATTGCACCGATGGACAGGTAAGTAATATTCCATTGTTACTTATATTCCATCGAATATTATTTTCAAAAGATATTTCAAACTAACAGAACCTCTACATGTAGCAGACTCTTAAAAAATGCCTTCAAATGCCAGGCTGCTTGTACTAGTCCGGACTGATGCCGATTTATAGTGCTAGCCCACTGAGATACCATGCCGCAGTTTAACATGAATATCCCACTCAGACACAGTATACTGACTCCGAGCCGACCAGTCCTTGTTTTAGCCCCTTAATGCCGAGCGCTTGACAGGGTAACAACAAGTACCATCTTTGAACGTCTTTTGGTATGACGCGGCCGGGGATCGAACCCCGGACCTTCTGCTCTCCGGGCGGACGCTCTACCTCTAGACCACGGAGGCGGTGCTCTGACACGCCAGTACCAAGCACAACCACTACACCCATACCACTGGACCCGTGAAGATTCCGGGGTAGAATAGGTCCTCAGCAACCCAATCTTGCCGTAAAAGGCGACTATGCTTGTCGTAAAAGGCGACTAACGGGATCGGGTGGTTGATGCATGTCATCAATCCCAATTACGTGGATCGATGCTCATGATGTCAATTACTGGATTGTCTGGTCCAGACTCGATTATGTTACAGACCACCGTCATATAGCTGGAATATTGCTGAGTGCGGCGTTTAACATCTAACAAACAAACAAAACATACCACTGAACAAATTCCACACTGTCACCATTGTCATTCTTTTTCAGAAGGTCTTGATTGTGTTTCTAGAAGGCAGCACAAGAAAGTTTAGGATATTGTTTGAGGTATGGTTAAGTCTCATGAACGATACATGAAGAGCTCTTAGGTTACCGGGTTCTTCACTAGTGTATACCTTGATATGAACTTTCATTTATCCAGGGGACGGTCGGGTAGCCTAGTAATTAAAGCGTTCGCTCGTCACGCTGTAGACCCGGGTTCAATTCCCGACATGGGTACAATGTGTGAAGCCCATTTCTGGTGTCCCCCGCCGTGATATTGCTGGAATATTGCTAAAAGCGGCGTAAAACCATACTCACTCACTCACTCACTCACTCACCCACTCACTCACTCATTTATCCAGCCTCAAGTCAATATGTTTACGTGCCAGGCTTATGTTGTACTAAGCACATTAGTCATAGCTTTTAACATAGGAATACAATATTGTTAGAAAAGGTCCTGCTCTATGCTCTCTGTGGTCGGGCTTGGTTGATTGCTGTGACTGTATACAGACAGCATGAGTTGCTCATGATGTCAACCACTTGTTTTACTATAGTGTTCATTCAGGTATCTCTTAATTTATTTTTTTTCATTATTGACCATTCAAACAGATATAAGGTATTCATGTGATTATACATTGGGTGTAAGGACCAAGCTTTAATTTGCATTACATGTATTTACAGTCGATACGGTCATAGCTGTGTTGTGGGGTTAACTAAGCCCTACTACAGTTACCTATGTTATTGTCGTTCAGCCCCGTTGTGGACAAAGGGCGACATGCCTCCACCACTTGCCTGGTCAGCCAACGTTTATTTAAGTCACGGGGAGTAGTTGGTCTATCGACTCTGGCTCCGAACTATCCCTCTCAGCATTCGTGTGCCCGCCCTTGCACTCTCCAGGATTAAACACAAAACATAGGTTATACTCACATAGGTTTAATAACGCCCCAGTCCATCTTCAAATACAACTTCTAAAAAAAACAGGCCAAACTCATCATAGACTTCGTAATAATACTCATATATTAGTTTGAAAACTTGTCTACACTCTCAAAAAAGAAACGCAACCCCAGTCTGAAAATGTGAGAAAACCCCAAGAAGGAAAAATATTGATTGTAAATACAATTTTTCTGATATGCACTTATACCATGTATACTGTTTATTAACGTAAGCGCCCAAACACACCAATTTTCGTGCACAAGGGCATTTTATTGTTACTTTTATCATAGTGAGCAAAATTTTCACGTGGCCCATGCCAAAAGCCTCAGGCACGTGCAATTCATGGAAAGAGCAGTAGAAGTATGGGTTTTTAAAAGCACGTGTTGATTTGCGATTCACTCTATCATTTTCACCGAAAGACAAGGTCGAATATGCCACGGTTGAGTGCTGCAGATCGAAAAATCGCCATTGGTCGTATTGAGGCCGGACAAAGCTTTGGAAACGTTGCCCGGCACCTCAATGTTCATAAAACAACGATTTCCGGACTTTGGAGCCGATACACCCAGTTTCATGCAACTAAAGATCGCCCCAGAAGTGGTAGGCCAAGGGTTACCACACCACCTCAGGATCGATTCATCCGGGTCACCCACCTACTTAATCGGCTAGCCACACCTACCGTCACTGCAACACAGGTGCCAGGTTTGAGAAGAGTGTCCGCACAAAAAATTAGGAACCGTCTACGAGAGGCCGGTCTACGTGCAAGAAGACCACTTATTGGACCTGTTTTACGCCACGAACATCGACGTCAACGACTCAGGTAGTGCACCAACGTTCGGATATGGAGCCTCAGAAACTGGAGGCGCGTCTGGTTTAGTGACGAATCACGTTTCTCTTACAACGCCGTGACGGAAGACAGCGTGTCTATAGAAGAGGAAACGAACGTTTTGCCCCGAACTGCGTTCGGCAGGTCGACAGATTTGGAGGAGGGAGCGTCATGGTGTGGGGAGCCATGTCTTACAACCAAAGATCAGACTTGGTGATCATTCGTGGCAATTTGACAGCCCAGCGCTATATCAATGACGTCTTACAGCCTCATCTTCTGCCGATTATCGACCAACAGAGGGAGCTCTATCAACACATGCAACAGTGAATTTTCTCCAGAATTCTAACGTCAACATGTTACCATGGCCCTCCTGATCACCAGACATCAACCCAATCGAACATCTTTGGGATTATCTGGACCGACGAGTACGTGCACGTACACCGCCGCCGCAGACGTTGGATGCACTAGCCGTTGCACTGCAGGAGGAGTGGAGAGCAATCCCTCGGGAAAGAATCCGGCGTCTAATCCGTTCTGTTCCTAAGAGGTGTAATGCTGTGATCGCAGCTCGTGGCGCTCATACGAGGTACTGTGAAAGACGCCCCCTTGCCTCAAGTCAATCTTAGTGAGAGAACTGTCGAAGTCTGGACTTAAACTTGAATAACTGTACTGCCACCATGCCAAATTTCATTTTGTTGTCTTCAATAATAAATGTGTTATAATAACTTGAATATTGAGATAAACATCTTGAAAATATAGGGGTTGCGTTCCTTTTTTGAGAGTGTATAATCCAGGAGCGGCCTGTAAATAATCGAGTCTGGACCAGACAATCTAGTGATCAATATTTTGGGCACCGATCCACGCAATTGGGATCGATGACATGCATCAAACAAGTCAGCGAGCCTGACCACCCGATCCCGTTAGTCGCCTCTTATATAATTACCACAAGCATATCATCTGTCAGCCCATGCTTGTCATTAGAGGCGACTAACGGGATCGGGTGGTCAGGCTCGCTGACTTGGTTGATGTATATAATTGTTTCCCCTTTGCGTAGATCGATGCTCATGATGTCAATCACAAGATCGCCGTTATAAAGTTGGAATATTGGTGAGTGCGGCGTTAAACAACAAACAAACAAAAACTCTTTCACTGAACTAGTCGCGGACCATCATAGATAAAAGTCTTATTAAAATGGGTACCAGTTTAGTTTATGTACTGGGGTGGTCGGGTAGCCTAGTGGTTAAAGCGTTTGCTCGTCACGTCGAAGCTTGATTCCTGACATTTCTGATGTCTCCCGCCGTGATATTGCTGGAAGATTGCTAAAGCGGCGTAAGACCAAACTCACTCACTAGTTTATGTACATGTTCAGTATTTGTCAACAACGTTTGTTTCAGGAGGACGTTTACTTCCTGGAGAGCAACATAGCGGCATCCTTTCCATCGTTAGAGCAACTACTGCATCATTACTATAGAGCTAACCTACCTCGCTATAGCGCCCCTCTGAGAACACCGTACCAGCTCCACCCAATGTACAGCATGAGTTTGCTCTGACCTTGTGACGTTCACGTCTTGACGTAAATACAAAACGTCAACGTAAGAGAAGAACCAATCTCGATTATCCGAGAAAACGGGCTCAAATTGGCGTGAAAGGCAAAGGAGCGGTGAAAAGTATAGAAGTGAATCACTGAAAATCAGTGATGACACCAGGTGTTCGCGAAAAGGGTGAGCATGTATTGCCGTGCCTTGTGTGTTCCGGCCTATTGCCTTTCACGCCTTGACTAACGCTATACCAGCCCCAACCAGTGTTAAAGCAAAGTATTCTCCGACCTTATAATGAAATGTTCATTCTGATGTCGATGTTTTTTTTATACCTATCCAAGTGGATCCCTCACTTAGATAGTCTGGTACTCCTTCAAGCTGATGCCAGGTTGTCGTATTGGATGGACTTATTTCTCAAGACAAGGTTTCACACCAACAGAGGATTCCGACACCTTTTATGACGTACCTCTATGTATGCACATGTACTTCGACCCCTGAAGATCCGGGGTAGAATAGGTCTTCAGCAACCCATGCTTGCCGTAAAAGGTGACTATGCTTGTCGTAAGAAGAGACTGACGGGATCGGGTGGTCAGACTCGCTGAATTGGTTGATGCACGTCATCGATCCCAATTGCGTGAATCGATGTTCATGATGTCAATCTCTGGATTGCCTGGCCCAGATCTGATTATTTACAGACTGCCGTCATATAGCTGGAATATTGCTGAGTGCGGCGTTAAACAACAAACAAACAAACAAATATGTACATACACACACGTATACACATGCATAAAAAATACGACACACACACACAAATACACGAGAGCGCGCGCACGCACACACATGACTTGGTTGTTTGTGTATTATCTTAAGAATATATCGTATGTTAACGATGTTATATCTAAACAATGAGGGGCGGTCGGGTAGCCTAGTGGTTAAAGCGTTCACTCGTCACGCCGTAGACCCGGGTTCGATTCCCGACATGGGTACAATGTGTGAAGCCCATTTCTGGTGTCCCTGCCGTGATATTGCTGGAATATTGCTTAATGCGGTGTTAATCCACACTCACTCACTCTAAACAATGAACTGTACTGGCGCTTAGTCAGCACCCAGAGAATACGTCTACATGGTTTTGATTTAAAACTTTTACAATTATTTTAAACATTCGCATATTACACAGCAACTGACACATCTTATCTTCAATCAATCAATTTGTCGGTAAACATTTCTAACAAGGCAGGGTCATGTGGTTGCAAATTCATATCTCACCCCAGTCTATTTTGAACCAATATATTTTTACACACAATTACCCAGGCAAAGATTACGTTTTACAAACTGTTGCAGGAATGACCGATGGTTAAATTGACAGTCAAATTGAACAACAGGTCTTTCAATTTTCAATTACTTAAAAAGCAAACTCGGTATTCTTTCTTTTGCCCCTCAGTTTATTGAAGAAAACAAATACGGCAATGTGATTGTACACTTCTCACTTAAACACCCTCTGTAGACTCGTGAATTTTCTTTTTATTGTTGATCGGTCTAGTGGTAGAGCGTCCGCCCGGAGAGCGGAAGGTCCGGGGTTCGATCCCCGGCCGCGTCATACCAAAAGACGTTAAAAGATGGTACTTATTGTTACCCTGTCTGGCGCTTGGCATAAAGGGGCTAAAACAAGGACTGTGTCTAAGTGGGGTATTCCTGTTAAACTGCGGCATGGTATCTCAGTGAGCTTGCACTATAAATCGGCATCAGTCCGGACTAGTACAAGCAGCCACACACACACACACACGTACATGCACGTATATAAGTGCAATAATCTTGGACGCGACGTTAAACCCAATTTAACCTCACCTCACCTCTTTTAATTGTTATTATTGTTATCGCATATGTGATATAACCTGTTTCCATATACACAGATGATGATACAATGCAGCTACATCAACTGTTTCATTTGTTACAATTTTGTTACCATTTTCTCATGTTTTTTAGATGCATTTTGACCTTATACCAATACTTGCATACACTATATACACTATTCCGTGCGTACGCATACAGAGGAAACTCAATCAGGAGTTATTTTAATCAGAATGAATATTATTTTATTTGTTCACTTCGTAATAGTACTCAAATATTCGTGTCTATCTATAATCCGCCGCCGGCCTGTAAATAATCGAGTGTGGACTAGACAATCCAGTGATCAATATTGTGAGGAACGATCCACTCTGATCAAGCCCATGCTTGTCGTAAGAGGCGACTAACGGGATCGAGTGGTCAGGCTCGCTGACTTGGTTGATGCAACTCATCGTATCCCAATTGCGTAGATCGATGCTCATAATGTCAATCACTGGATTGTCTGGTCCAGACACACACACGTACATGCACGTCGCTATATAAGTGCAATAATCTTGGACGCGACGTTAAACCCCATTTTACGTCACTTCTAACATTGTTATCATCGCTTGATATCTGATCCATATACTTATCAATTATAGTTATTAAATTATACTAGTGCCTCGTAAAACATTGATTCTATCCTGAAGAACACTTCTTAATTCCTAGATTGATGCAATACAACTGCCGAGAGCTGCTTTTAAACAACAAACAAGCATGCAAAACTTTCCGTTACGTCATCCTTCATCACATTGTTTACAAAAGTTTACACTTGTTTTGTCAAGGTCGCACTTGGATTAACCTGGTTTATGATGCTCACGCAAGTATTATTCCGCTTCAGCGAAAGGCTCAAGAATAAAACTTTTCAATCTTAAAGTTTTTGATGTTTTTATTTGGGATTTATTCATCCACATAAAACCCGTCATATCTACAGATGATGTAGAACACCTAGGAATGTCTACAGGTGACGAAGAACATCTAGGTATTTCTGCAGGTGAAGTAGAACACCTAGGAATGTCTACAGGTGAAGTAGAACATCTAGGTATTTCTACAGGTGAAGTAGAACATCTAGGTATGTCTACAGGTGAATTAGAACATCTAGGAATGTCTACAGGTGAAGTAGAACATCTAGGTATGTCTACACGTGAATTAGAACATCTAGGTGTTTCTACAGGTGAAGTAGAACATCTAGGTATGTCTACAGGTGAAGTAGAACATCTAGGAATGTCTACAGGTGAAGTAGAACATCTAGGTGTTTCTACACGTGAAGTAGAACATCTAGGAATGTCTACAGGTGAATTAGAACATCTAGGTGTTTCTACAGGTGAAGTAGAACATCTAGGTATGTCTACAGGTGAAGTAGAACATCTAGGTGTTTCTACACGTGAAGTAGAACATCTAGGTATGTCTACAGATGAAGTAGAACATCTAGGTATGTCTACAGGTGAAGTAGAACATCTAGGAATGTCTACAGGTGAAGTAGAACATCTAGGTGTTTCTACACGTGAATTAGAACATCTAGGAATGTCTACAGGTGAAGTAGAACACCTAGGTATGTCTACAGGTGAATTAGAACATCTAGGTATGTCTACAGGTGACGAAGAACATCTAGGTGTTTCTACAGGTGAAGAAGAACATCTAGGTATGTCTACAGGTGACGAAGAACATCTAGGTATGTCTACAGGTGACGAAGAACATCTAGGTATGTCTACAGGTGAAGTAGAACATCTAGGAATGTCTACAGGTGACGAAGAACATCTAGGTGTTTCAACAGGTGAAGTAGAACATCTAGGTATGTCTACAGGTGAAGTAGAACATCTAGGTGTTTCTACACGTGAAGTAGAACATCTAGGTATGTCTACAGATGAAGTAGAACATCTAGGTATGTCTACAGGTGAAGTAGAACATCTAGGAATGTCTACAGGTGAAGTAGAACATCTAGGTATGTCTACAGATGAAGTAGAACATCTAGGTATGTCTACAGGTGAAGTAGAACATCTAGGTGTTTCTACACGTGAATTAGAACATCTAGGAATGTCTACAGGTGAAGTAGAACACCTAGGTATGTCTACAGGTGAATTAGAACATCTAGGTATGTCTACAGGTGACGAAGAACATCTAGGTGTTTCTACAGGTGAAGAAGAACATCTAGGTATTTCTACAGGTGAAGTAGAACATCTAGGTATGTCTACAGGTGACGAAGAACATCTAGGTGTTTCTACAGGTGAAGTAGAACATCTAGGTATGTCTACAGATGAAGTAGAACATCTAGGTATGTCTACAGGTGAAGTAGAACATCTAGGTGTTTCTACACGTGAATTAGAACATCTAGGAATGTCTACAGGTGACGAAGAACATCTAGGTGTTTCTACAGATGAAGTAGAACATCTAGGTATTTCTACAGTTGAAGTAGAACATCTAGGTATGTCTACAGGTGACGAAGAACATCTAGGTGTTTCAACAGGTGAAGTAGAACATCTAGGAATGTCTACACGTGAATTAGAACATCTAGGTGTTTTTACAGATGAAGTGGAACACCTAGGAATGTCTACACGTGAATTAGAACATCTAGGTGTTTCTACAGGTGCAGTAGAACATCTAGGAATGTCTACACGTGAATTAGAACATCTAGGTGTTTCTACAGGTGAATTAGAACATCTAGGTATGTCTACACGTGAATTAGAACATCTAGGTGTTTCTACAGGTGAAGTAGATCATCTAGGAATGTCTACAGGTGAAGTAGAACATCTAGGTATGTCTACAGATGAAGTAGAACATCTAGGTATGTCTACAGTGAAGTAGAACATCTAGGAATGTCTATAGGTGAATTAGAACATCTATGTATGTCTACAGGTGAAGAAGAACATCTAGGTATGTCTACAGGTGAAGTAGAACATCTAGGTGTTTCTACACGTGAAGTAGAACATCTAGGTATGTCTACAGGTGAATTAGAACATCTAGGAATGTCTACAGGTGAAGTAGAACACCTAGGTATGTCTACAGGTGAAGTAGAACATCTAGGAATGTCTACAGGTGAAGTAGAACATTTAGATATGTCTACAGGTGAATTAGAACATCTAGGTATGTCTACAGGTGACGAAGAACATCTAGGTGTTTCTACAGGTGAAGAAGAACATCTAGGTATTTCTACAGGTGAAGTAGAACATCTAGGTATGTCTACAGGTGACGAAGAACATCTAGGTGTTTCTACAGGTGAAGTAGAACATCTAGGTATGTCTACAGATGAAGTAGAACATCTAGGTATGTCTACAGGTGAAGTAGAACATCTAGGTGTTTCTACACGTGAATTAGAACATCTAGGAATGTCTACAGGTGACGAAGAACATCTAGGTGTTTCTACAGATGAAGTAGAACATCTAGGTATTTCTACAGTTGAAGTAGAACATCTAGGTATGTCTACAGGTGACGAAGAACATCTAGGTGTTTCAACAGGTGAAGTAGAACATCTAGGAATGTCTACACGTGAATTAGAACATCTAGGTGTTTTTACAGATGAAGTGGAACACCTAGGAATGTCTACACGTGAATTAGAACATCTAGGTGTTTCTACAGGTGCAGTAGAACATCTAGGAATGTCTACACGTGAATTAGAACATCTAGGTGTTTCTACAGGTGAATTAGAACATCTAGGTATGTCTACACGTGAATTAGAACATCTAGGTGTTTCTACAGGTGAAGTAGATCATCTAGGAATGTCTACAGGTGA